CCGACCAGTGACCTCTGTTTCGGAAGATGTGAAATCCTGTATTAATCCTGGATCCATTCAATATCCTCCCATCCAATCTCCTGGACCACTGCATGCAAGCTCTTCCAGTTTCCAATACGAGACTTAACCCCGTGGTTGTGGAACCCATTGTGGATGGCTCCGTGGCATCGTCCTGTCCCGGGGTAGAGGTGGTTCCGATCAGCAATGTGGGGTCATTTTCGAGAGAACAGATCCAGGTGATGAAACGAAAAGATATTTTGAAGCAAACAGTGCAGCTTGGTACACCCACAAGTGGTTAATCGAGGTAGCTCTCCCTGCACTTGGCGCGGAGTATCATGATGAGGCGAGACAGGTTGCAGACCAAATTTGGAGCACGTATCCAATGTCGCCTATTGCAGAGCACAAGCGTTTGTATGCTGTATGCTGTACCGTGTCCTTCCATCCTCCTGGTTGACCGACGCATCCATTAGAAGGTTGTATGCAAGACGCACTACCAATTTCCCGACCTATAGATTTTCTGGCGAACAAGAAGCAACTACCATGTCGGTTCGGGCCAAAGAATTGGTTACGAAGGAAGTCATAAATCGTATTACTGCGCAAATTAACGAGCTGGATGTGGACACGTTGTTGCTGCCGCTGAATTTCGGCAACGCTCACTGGTGTTGCGTTGTGTTGAAAGTTGGGGTAAAGAGGATCTTCTACTACGACCCTTTGAACCAGAGGTCCTGCATGCATGCAGCAAAAAGAGTGGCGACGTATCTAAAGTACAATGAACTTAATGACCTCGCTGTGGTGCCGCATAACAATTCGATTCAGTTTGACCAGTTTAGCTGTGGAGTTTTCTTCGGCTGGATGTTCCTGCGCCAGGTTGTGCCTGTGCTAACTCATGACATGAGCGACACCGCTCACATCAAGCGTCATTTCGAATTGCTCTACTGTATCTTATCTGGACGTCTCATTGCACCAACCAGACACGCTTCCACACCTACTCAAACTCGACCACTAATCAAGACGACGAAGAGAAGGCTCCTGCTCACGTGAACTAATACCCTGAAAACGATGACAGCCCTCCCACCCAAGTTACAGCAAGTGTATGAGCAGACAGACTTACAAGACGCAGAGTTAGGCTTGGAGCAATGATAACCTTTATGGATACATGACTTTTACTTACTCTTCAGCTTATCTTGTGGTCATGCGCTCTGTATGACCCTTGAGCAGATATCGTTGTGAAAGTGCCAGCAGTACAAGTACTTGCGGCGTACATGCGACGGACATCGTGGGCTTTGCAGATTTGCCGATGAGTCAGTCCTGAAATAATCCTGTGAACAAACCACAGTCGCACGTTGCTTTATAACGTATATTACCAAAGATATTATCATGATAGACAGGTTTAATAATCCTAATAAAATCATGAACAACAATTCTGCATATTTTAGGATTATTTCGTAATATAATCCTGGACTCCCCTGATAGCCACTATTACCCGCCTATTAATTAACATGTAAGAAAATTTCGCAACGATGTCTATCATTCGCAAAATGATATCCGGAAGGAAATGCCACCTTCTGTTGTGTGTGTTTTTTTTGTCATCTGCGGCATTTTTTCGCATTTCCTAGTCATTTCCAATCAAAGACATTGTGGCATTTTCCAGGCCACAACGTCTTCTCCGGGAAGAGATGGAACTCTCCTTGACCTGTTGGATTGTTGGTCATGACGAAAGCGCGTTCGATGTTAATGTGAAGGATGATATGAAGGTGACAAAGTTCGATGAGGCGGTCAAGACGCAGAGCGGTAGGGCAATAATGGTTCCTAAGACAACGCTGCATCTCTTCCCGATAAAACATGGCTCGATTCGGCTGCCGCTACAGCTGTGACTAGTAGTGACTGTGGGCATCCTCAAGGCTCTAAGCAGATGAATCCCACGCTGTACCTTAAAAATGTCGCTCACTTTGGAGAGCATTTTCAATCGCAAGAAGGCCAAGTTCACGTGCTGGTGGTGATTCAGAAAAAACTTAAGAATCCCGATACAAAACCGGCGATGACGTTGGCCGATACTCCTTGCCTGGTTTTTCACTTTGACGTCCAGAAGTCCTTTATTCACATTCCGAAAGCATTTGTGGAAGGTAGTGGTCTTGAAGCTGAGGGAGAAGGTTTGCCATTGTACCTCCGCCAAAGTCTACAAGAAGAATGGCAGGCGCTGTGTAACAGTCAGGGAACCCGAAAACTCTTAAAGGGGGAAAAATTAATCCCAATTTTTTAATTTAATTATTAATTTATGGCTGCCAGCAACGGAACAACCCCAATTTTGAGTAAGGTCTAGTCAAGTTACAGCGTGGGGACGCGCTGAACGTCGCGGAAAAATTAGCCTGGGCTGAATTTAGGTCGCCTGATCTCGAACGGTCGTCTTCAAGAGCCGCCAAAGAGCGTTCTATTGTGAGAGCGGCGTTCAAGAAACGCAATTGCGCACTACGTCGACGTCGCGTACATCCCGCCAACGTCTAACGAGTGTGAGCGCTTCTTCTCTCTCGCTAAGCTGGTACTGTCTGATCTACGGAAGCGAATGTCTCCAGCCAGGCTCGAGATGATAATGTTTCTGAACTACAATCGTGACTTACGAAGTTTTGCAAATAATTGAACTATTAATTTTCTCAGCTCACATCGATGTATTAATCTAAGTATTGCATTTTCGGGTTCCCTGGTAACAGTGTCGTCGAAAAATACGCAACTTTGTGGGTTGTGGGTCCTCCTGGAACGGGAAAATCGTGTGCAGCATTCGCATTCGCCTGCTCTACTTCACGTGATGACGGTTGGGATGTGCTGTGGATTCACTGCTCCGGAGAAGCTGGCAATTTGCTTTGCGTTCTGTTCCGTGGAGAGTTTGACAAACAGACGTGTACGATTGATCGCAACGAGATACAATTCCTTTTGAGCATGCTGAGTGAGAAAGCCGTGGTTTTCCTGGATGGGTATGTGAAAACGAGGGATGAGTGCGTAGTGCTGTGGCCTTGTCAAAAGTGGCGCCAACAAAACAAGGAGCACCATCGTCTTGTGGTCGTTTGCTCAATGGTTTCAATGGGGAAGGATTATCGCCCTGAAACGTGGAAGACGATCCCATTTTAGCGTCAGCAGCAGTTTGAGGAACTTGTCGATTTCTGCCTCTCCAGGTCCACGTATGTCGATTATTGAGCAACAGCGCCGCAAGCACGTTCAATCGAAGTTCACGGAATCGGAAGACGATTTGAGCGAAATAAGCTGCTGAATAGCAAGTTTTTTATTGTGGGGGGAAGCACACGAATGATGATTGATAACAGCTTTAAACATGCGTTGCTGGCGCTACGCATTGCGGTTGCATTGACTCCAAATATTACTTTATACATTGAGGGCTCGATCGGAGTAAACTTCGATGATGTGGCGATCCGATTATAGCATTGGGATAAAAAACCAATGCTCTCCTGGTCTCGTGAGTGGGTTCGTAGCGAGGGCGTTCGCTTTGAGACTTAACCCTCAGAAGCTGATAAAGCTCGCGAAGTGTCTTACGGAGAATTCCACGATCGATGATCATGTATTTGAAATGAATTTCTTCTCAAGGCTTCGCCATGATGGTGACCAATGCCATTTTCTTCGAGGTGAAAAGCGTGAAATTGAAGTGTGGAAGACTGAAAGACCTGACTTGGTCCAGCTCTTTGATCCGTGCGATCATATACCGCTGGATCAAGCCGAGCAGTGGCTAGCCCCGGAAGCACGCAACCAAGGTGATTATGACGCTGATTATATCAAATTGGTTGAGTTGAGCGACACCGAAAAGGAGATGAAGGGTATGGCGGCGTCCTACAAGCTGCTAGTCCGTTTCGTTCAACTGACGTGTGCGACAACCCACTCGTTTAATGGCAAGTTCTTCGCGCACTAACTGTGCCGCTTATCTCTGGACGGATATACGCGGTGGAGGTGTGATTTGTGGTTCCACTTGCGATGATGGACAAGTTTACCCCCCCCAAACAAACAAACGCTAAATAGTTTTGCAAAGAAGCATTGGACCCTGCGATTGAATCGCACGGGAGAAAGTTTCATAGAGTGAAGCATTCAGTCCCCCCTCCTTAAGTTGCCCCTCCTCAAGTTGATGTTGAAGTGGTCGGACTGGATTTGGCGATGTCGGGTGCAGCTCGAAGTAAAAAGGGAAAACATTTGTAGTGCAGGCTGACCCATGATGTGGATCGTCGTCTCAATGTTCGTAAAGTTATTGCTATTGAAACTAGTAATAACTTTTTTTTTGAAGAAAAAAACAAATATTCGTCTCTCTTCTTCAATTTGCTCGCCGCAAGTAAGTATGTGCGATAGTAGTATTGAATCTGGACGGTACTGTGCGTTGGCCTTTGATGGAAAATACACGTGGCAGATTATTTTCTGGCCGTGTATTATTTACCAAACAGTCTTTGAAAAACCCACCGTGGCAAAAGAAATAACATTTCCCTTAAACACTTTGAACGCTGACATCCGCAGTCTTCTCTTCTTGATCGTGTGTAGCGGGTGAAGACGCATCCCCTAGTGGAGAGCTGTGAAGAGCATTGGATCGTGGAGTAAACTCGAACGTCGTTTCCTTGGAGCCATCGTCCTGCGTCTTCTCCTCTGTCGGCAACTTGCCCTTGAGATAGAGATAATCGTTGTATGCGTTACGGTATTTGCGGTGAATAATGAGGATGCCCATCATCAGCAACAAGACCACAAAGCCGATCACCACAATCGCCACGTAGACGGAATAAAGAGCCTGAGTATCCAGCACCACAGCGCTCTCTGTGCACGTCGAAATGCTCTCCGTGCTTTCCGACTGGGAGCCGCCATAACACGCCAACTTGCGAGCATAAGACACCAGTTGCTCACCGCCATTACAAGTCGAACGTAGCTCGTTAAAGTAATCATCGTCACACACAGGACACGCAAACGCTGTCTTCCACACGATGTCCCAGTTGCATTTGTCATCGTCCTGCGACGCAGACGCTGGCTTGCTAGTCGTACCTGTACATTACTCGTTAACTTCTCCATTTTCCAAGGTTAATTAACATGTGTATCAAGCGTACCGCTGTTAAGATCACACTCGAAATTAAAGGTAGTGGACATAGTCTTGCCATCGACACAAGGCGACCCGTTAGTGAAGGAAACCTTGACTCCAGCGCCAGAATTCAACGGTAAAATGTCCATGTGGCTGCCTCCATTCACAAGTTTCCATTGCTCCAAAATAACCCATAACATGTTAAATAAAACACTAAAAGTACAGCAAATAAAAAACACATACCGATGGGGCCGAGCACATGACATTGCCGTAGACTCCGCTGTTCTGCTGGAAGTAGCGACCCGCTTCACGAGGGTTAATCATACTGGCGAACACCACGTGAGCCACTTCTTTACTGGTGTCCACTTCTTGGTCCACAATCTGACCGGGAACTTGTTCCAACCAGCCGCTTCCAAGTGGACGGAACAGACCTGCGAACCAGTAATTCTGACCGTCAGCCTGGAAGGCCATCGACGACTCCACAGGCTTCATAGACTGCAAGCTCGTCGCGTTCCCGTACACCGTATCATCCAAGATCCAGCTCTCATTCCCCCACACTAGCGCCTCCAGAAGGGACAAGTTGTACGTCACCTGCAGACCAGTAAGCGCTGAGGACACGACATCGGACGACGCCGACGACGACAACGTCACGGATTCCGATGATGCACTAGCGTTCAGTGTCAGAGCTTGAGGAGCAGCACAGGTCACTGCACCGACACTACTGTACGTGTTCTCGCCACACGGAGTACACTTGGAAGCGCCCTGTTTCGAGTACGTATTGACTGGACACTCCGCACACGCGACGATGCCAGTTGCGTCTCCAGCTTCAGCGAATGTACCAGCGGGACAGATACGACAGCTCATCTGCGGTTCGTCGTCAGTGTTAACCGGTTCGTAACCGGAAGGACAGCTGTCACAGCTCACACCAGCGCCTTCTTGTGTACCCGTGAAGCCTAAATACGACACCTTGGCCTCGATCGCACGCTTCGCTTCGACAGATGTCGCACGGACTGCAAAGACGAACTCTTTGACCACCGCAGTCGTCACATTGACCTGGATAATCTCACTGAACGTGCCGTTCTCGCCGCCATGAAGCAAGTGAACAACGTTCTTGTTCTCACTGCCATCGACGCCATCGTAGCTACCTAACGCACTGGGAATATCCGCTTCCTTCTTGGATTTCTTGCTACTGACACCAGCATCTCGTACTTCCAGCTCCACCCACGCACGAGAACCATTCTCTTCAAACGTGGGGACGCCACTTAGCTTGTAGGTCAAGTTAAACGCTCCAGAATGCACGAAAGGCACGTTGAAAGTCAGTGCTGAACGACTTGGTCGACTCCAGTCTCCATCGTCATCATTGCTCGTGTGTTGTGCGAACAGCAGCCCGCTCTTTGTCAGCTTCCAACCAGCATGTTTCGCACCTTCCATGTCGACTAGTTGAGGCCAAGAGTCCCACGCATCCGGCGTCCCCGTGCCGAACTCAAGAGCATTCACGACAACCGTGCCGGGTGGACACTCCTTACACGTCCCCGAGGCGCTTAACGCCTGGTTCGCACCACAAGCTTCACATGCGTCCTCTTCATTGAGCTGGTAGCCACGTGCACAGCTCGCGCATGACACTCCTTTCTTTGATTTCGGCAGCGCGATACTGCTCTTGAGCGTCGAATCACACGACTGCGGCTCACTCCACGCGTATTTCACGTTCCGTACACCATTTTTACACGACGTAAAAGTCTCATCCACGTCGTCCATTGAGCACGGACGCTGCTCTACACACGACGAAATGCCGATAGATCCTTTCGGTGCGTACGTGTTGGGAGGACACGAGTAGCACGTAAAATCCAACTCGCTGTTGGATTTTGCTGCGGCGTATTCATTGGGCCCACAGAAGGCACACAATGACCCTCCGCTATTGGTCATATCTCCGCCACAAGTGTGGCAATGCAGGTCGGACCAAGCTGTACCCACTAGTTCGATCACCTTGAGGTAGGCTTTGTCTTCTCCGGCGTCTCCAGCGTAGTCCTTCATATAGTTCCAGGCCAGAGTGTGCGCTCCAGCTGAGACCTGCACGACTGCTTCCTTCCAGCCATCGGACTGGGAGATTAGTCCGGTGCTTTGGTCGTCATCTATCTGGAACATAAGACCGTCATAGGGCTGTTCCGCGTCCACACGGTACTTGTACGTCACAGAGCCGTCACGAACAAACGTGGCACTGACTCGAAGTGTGGAATAAAGTCTCGTGCCTTCGAAATTCTGCATTACGCCAGAGTTCTGGCCTGAGGAGATGTAAGACCCATCGGCGGAAGGAACCCATGGGTTGCAGTTATGCTGCCATTGACCCGTGTACATGTTTTGGGTCATACAATCGGTCTGCAACTCGGCCGCAAGGGGGGAAGTCCATGCATCCGTGCGTTGAGAGAACAATTTGCCTCCACCTAGTGAATATTTGCCCTGTGGACAGCGCTCACAAGCGGATACAGGTGCAGGTCCTGTAAAACTGCATAATGTTATGACAGTCATAAGTCAGTCATATCGCTAAAAATAAAATTATGACTGACGTACTTGGCGCCGAGATAAAACCCACGATCACATTGCACGTCACAGCGGAGACCACGCACAGGAGCTAAACAACCCACAAATTTTCGTAAGCACCCGGTGTCTTAAAACCAATTAAACTGGTAAATTTTTACTTACGTTTTGCGAGCACGTGGCCCGTTGTGTTGGACGAGCACGTGCCCTCGCTTTTCAAGTAGTAGAAGAGCGTACGCTTGTCGTCCACGCAGTCGCTGAAGCCGTAGTAGAACTTTGGTCCGGACGCTAGAGCTGTGGAGGCCACAGAGCCTGCAAATACGAGCCACGCCGCCGTCCGCATCGCCGAGAGACTTGATCTTGAGATGTGGGGGCTCGACACGCGTGATAGCGCTGGAGTGTACCCAACCTTTACACAAAAACTTCACGGAATAATCAGAATGTCCGCTAAGTCCGAATGTAGCCATGTCAAGTTGAAAAAAAGGCATGGATTGATTCGATTTACGAGTGCACCAGCAGCAATCAGCTGAAACTTAGCAGCTTGTCAGCGTTTAGTGGTTGCCAAACTTGCCGCGACGGTCATAGTCACCGTGGTGGCCATGGTCGTGGTGGTGGCCGTAGTCGCCGCGGTGTCCGCGGTCGTCGTGGTGGTGTCCATGGCGGTGATCCTCAGTTTCAGCATCAACCTTGGTCTCAGCAGCAGGCATCTCAGCAGCAGAGGCCCAAGCCACAACGGCAGCGAGAACAGCAATTAGGGCGAAAGTCTTCATATTGGTTTGGCTTGATCGGAATGGCAGGGGTCTGATTGAACAATGAGTTGGGGAAACAGCGAGACGAACGAAGGTTGTGCCAGGTTGGACAGGATCGAGCAATATACTGGATCTCGCAGTGATGGTTTTTAACGATGCCATCCAACATATTTCCCAGAAATAATAAATATCATTATTTTCTTATTAATCTGCTGAAGTGGTGGCGCACTTGACCTTGGCCGAATAAATTCCACCACATTAGCGCAAAAATCTCCTGTAGAAACTACTCAGCATCGCTCGATGGTAACAGGCATGTGCCATTGTTCGTTTGGACTCCAAGTTCTCAAGTCGAGTTTCACTCAGGTTCCTCGCCTCCCATTCAGCATGAAGATGTCGTTTGGTCTACTTTCTCTATTAGTTCTAAGTGTGTCACTCTGACGAAAACGGGTGACTTCTGTAGTTTTTCAAATCTCAAGGTAGTGCGGTTTATCTCGAGTGTTTACTGTCTGGATAACAGCACTTTTGGAAAAAACGAATGCGTCAATGGCCAAGTGCGAAGCTACAGTGTACTTAGAAATACATATCCCTAAAATACATATCCTTAAGTACACTGTAGCTTCGCACTTGGCAGTTGACGCATTCGTTTTTTCCCTCGGTGAGATGTTGGGTGCATAAGAACAACCGCTTTGTGTGTGCGTCGACTCTGTACTGTATATGTACGGTCGGAAAAAATAATTGCGATTCAATAAATTATTGGATATTGCAATACACTCCTGGACACAATTAAACGGCCACCTCGTCGACTGCCCATAACTCAGTCAATTTTTGTTATTTTACGGTGCGGTTTTCACACAAGCTTGCAAAACATGCTTCAAAATAGCAATAACGCTCGCGTTTTTGCACTATATAGGGAGGCTCCTTTAGGAGTGGCTACGGCGACTTTTACTAAAAGTCGCTTTGGTCGCTATAGTGTTATTTACTTTGTACTATTGTACATATTTATTTAAATACGATCTATAAAGTTCGTATTCGATTACGTACGATATAGTTAAGTTCGGCAAATCAATTCCGAGAATTCACGTCCAGCGGGGTAGGATCTGCGGGCTACAGAGCCTGTGCGTCGATCGAGCGGGGGGGGGCAACCACGGGTAATAGTTTCATATGGCTCCAACACATGCTCGGTAAGCTGCTCTCTCGCTTGAGTATGGCGACGTGGACTGGTTATTATATCGTATGACTAAGACAATTGCTACACGTATTAGAACGAAACTTCCGGCGCAAGAGTAAGGGCGAGCTGAACAACATTTTGCCACACTTGGCATCGAGAAGGACAACGACAGCGATGAAGACTTCGCTCTAAAAAGAAGCGACGACGAAGACGAAGAGGGGAACCTTGACGATTCCGATCCTGATCCAGGCAATATCTCTTACAAAATACTCCCTGTTGTATTATATTAGCTCTAGACGCTCGATGACTGCCATGACAAACACAGAGAGAAGCAACAAGAAAAATGCAAACTTGCGAAACTGCGAAAGCATCCAGCCGGTACATTATGCTAAAGCCGCTTTATGTTAAGGTTGTCGTATGTCTGTGGCTAACATGAACTTGGCTTGTTAGTTTCAGAAAAAAGCAATGAGAGTGTCAAGAAACGGCGCTTTTCGCCGCACGAGGTGTTGCTCTTGCAGAAAAAAACACAAGGGGGAGAGTCGCGCGATTCCCTGCGCGGCGATGTCGTCGATGACAGTGGTGGAGCAAATACCTGAGCACGTGGAATACACGCCTCGGAACCGCACAAGCAAGCATGTCGAGGAGCTTGAGGGGGCAGCGGTCAGTTGTGATAAAGTTGTGAACGTCGTGGTTCCTTTTCCTGCTGCGGAGATTTCGAGCTGGGAAGAATTTAACAACGTTTTCAGTGATTACAAGAGGAAAAATCATCTCAACTTTCGTGTGCGCAGCTGTGAAACGACTGTGGTGTACAATAGGTATGCACTAATTGATAGTATTTGCGGTAATTAATTATATTTATCTTTGTAACTTTGTAATGATTTCTGTACTACGCTGTAGCTCGCACGTCGAGCAGATGCCAACAAAGTTTGAGTGGACCCACAGGGTGTATCGGTGTACCCACGGCGTAGCACAAGAATTGCGCTCAAAAGGTCACCGCAATCGCAAATCACGATACTGCGGCTGCAAGGCGCGGTTTACACCAACGGTAACAGAGACAGAAGCCGGTGTGTACCGTATCATTATCAGAAATGAGGTACTTCAATTGTGCGTTTTCGCCATACTAATTTATTGCTGGTCTTAAAACAGGTACATACCCATTCTCATTTGACAACGCGTAGTGGAGCGCTGTCGTATGTGTCCGGTCTTTTCTTCTTCGCCGCCTTCTTCGGTGTTCTTATCTCTGCCACTGTCGCCATGTCAAACTCAGCGTCGTCATTTCCTTGGTCTTTTCCCGCTTCCACGTAATCTTCATCTCCGCTGTGACTCCCATCCTCATCAGCAGAAGCAGCATCGGCAGCAAGCTCTTCTGCATACAATGCTGCGACAGGCGCCTTCCCTTTCAATCGCGGCGCTCTTGCCAGCAAATTGTAATATTCCACTACTACGCCCTTCTTCTGGTACGTAGCTGGAGCAGGAGGCTTGCGTGAAGCAACTGTCATCCTAGGCCGCCTTCCTGTCGTTGCTGACGTAGGAGCTGAAACAAGCAGCTCACCCGCAACATCGTCGCGAAAGTCAGCATCGCGGTCACGCGTACCGTCGACATACGCACGGTGCTCTATAAGCAGCCGGGCGCGTTCTGCGCCTTCCTTCCCGTCGAGACGACGCAGGAACGCCTCCGCTTCAGCGCGCGTGACGCGGCGGGGAGGCATCTTGGTCCCGCGTTTCGTTTTGGAGAATGAATGGATGGCTCAGAGGCTTCTCGTTTGAAGCTTTGTCTTTACGACAGCGTATCCCCAAGAAACTTTCTCTTTACAGTTAGGACCCCAAGCCCTGTACACCGGGGACTAAACGGACTAAACGGCCATTCTATGACGATCTTCATATGCTTGATTATCAAGCATGTGAAAAAAACCACATGCTTCCTTATCAAGCCTTAGTAACAGAAGGGTTAAAGTGGTATGGTTGCCCGAAAGAATAAAGTAGATATAAGTATTGCGAGCAGTATTGCGAGCGTGCCCAAGTGGTAGCCGGCATTATTTGTTCCATGCGTGAAGTCCATCACCAGCGACTCTCCCCATTGCTTGAACATCATTTTCTGCACCTTTGTTTGCATCACAACGCCGCACGTCACGTTCATCTGATCTTGAACCACCAGTACGTCACTACCGTCAAGCTGGCGAAGCGCATGAAGCATAACCTTCATCCGCCCTTCAGCGGATTCCTGTCCCATGATGCTACGTATGCGATTTTGCGTCTGCTGAGGCGTTACCATGCAGCCTACGCCAACAATCGATTACACATCGTTAATGGGTAAATAAATTAAAAAAAAACATGCAATACGCACCGATTTGTTCGTTGAAAAAGTTATTTATGTGTTTTGAGGACACACGAGCGTCGGCTAGAGTTTTCACATCGTCGCGATCTTGCTCATCAAGCGGCAGCGTTTTGGTAGTTGAGCGATGAAACCGGCGTGATCAGCCGGAGGATCGCCTCTCAACTTGCAGGCCTCGCGGTGCACAATATAGCAGTTGACGATAGCCATGTCAAAAAGGCCCATGGCCAAACTCTTGTAATACTTCCGAAAACGTTGAGAGAGTTGCAGCGAGTAGCTGGAGACGAAATTGGTCGTGGACATCGACCCCGCCCATACACCGATGGTACGTCGCCATGGCGGCGGGGCAAGGCACCGTCTCCTTCTGTCCTAATGTACCTGGAAGGGTCCACGATTTGCCTGCGATGTGTTTGTTGCACATGGCGGAGATGGCGACGTGTTACTATAGCCCAAATCGCCACCAACAGACGCATCGCTACAAACAATTACGAGCATGAAGTGTGAGAAACAAATCGTACGAAAAACGCATAATCTCCTTACCTGTCGGCTTCGTCATCAGCAGCGACGTGTGGACTTGTTGTCCGCGCAGATTTGTCAGCTCTTGAGCTCTTCGATGCTGCGCGCTTACGCTTACCTTTTGCTTTGGTCGTGCCAGTCGCCTTAGTTGCAAGCCCAGCTACTACAAGTGGGGTCAGCCGAATTTGCTAACACGGTAAGTAAGGTGCTCATTCTGCTTGTTGTTCTCATTGCTAACTAGTACTGTATGTGTCCAAAGATGTATTCACCTAGACCAGTTACACCACTGCATGGTGACGCTCCACCGTCCACACACCAACTAAAGATGGACGACGAATGGGTGGAGGTGAAAGGAATTCGAAAGCGACGTCAACGGCAGTGCAAGGTCTGTACTATACGGGAAACAAGCAGTACACAGCGGCAGGTGACGCGATTCTACTGTCCTGGCTGCAGTAAAGGCTCAAAACGGTACGTTGCTATGCTCTATGTTTCTTACTACTGCTATCTAACACGTATAATGCAGTGTCTACTTGTGTGACAAGGTGCGCCAAGCACATTACCCCAATAACAACCAGACTTGCTTCTCCATTTGGCACCAACTTTGGCGCAATGGAAGCGAGCGCCCACAGCCGCGCCACGGCCGCGGTATCCAGCTGAGTCCCCCCCCCCCAAAAAAAAAGCGGGCGGAAGGACAAGAGGGTCGTGAAGAGGACGGGGGCGGTGGGGACGAGGAGGAGGCCGCAGGCCTCGGCAATGAGGGAAGTGATGGTGGTGAAAATTCTGATAGTGATCAGAACGAGACAACGGAAACTGGGGGTGACGACGCGGTAGAGAGAGAGCACCAAGAGTAGGAAATAGTGAAACTGCGTAGGTAATAGCCCAAATGACTTGCTTTTAGTAAACAGATGCAATACACAAATTTGCTTTCGTAGCCGTTTTGCACGTGACTCCGTCAAAAACGATTCATTCCCAATAAAAGAGCCATTTGCACATGCATGATGTCGCGTATGGGCTTTACGGAATTTACTCACCATGCTCGATATAAAGCATGTGGGTTCATAATACGTACGATTGCAGGATCTTGTACAAATATACAGACACCGATCGTTTTTTTTCTATACAAATTTACGTTAAGACTTTTTTCACATGCTTGATATCAAGCATGTGAAAAATAGTCTGTGCATTCAAGATTTGCTCTCGTAACGGAAGGGTTAAAGCAGCCATATTCACCATAAAGCAACCATTGATTAACTTTTAATTTTTTTTTTTTGCACAGGAAGTCTTGTCGTCACTACCGCTACAGACAGAGGCTTCCCTGTTGTCGACTTTATGTGTCTTAGCCAGCAAGCAGTGACGATTTCTACAATACTGGAGTATTTCAAAGAGAAAAATCCCTGCTGGCAGCAAGAAGAATCCGTGGTGATTTCTAAGGATTTCGTGGAGTGGCGTGTATTGAGGGAGTGCTTTCCAAGTGCGCAGATATTATTGAGTCAATTTCACGCGATTGCTTACTGGAAGAAGGTGATGAAACGCTCTGTGTATCACCTGAATGTTTCCCGGAGTGAAGAGCTGCTGAACATGATGGCAAACCTGCTCTACTGGTACGTAAGGCTCTATATTGCATCCGTTAACCGCTATGCTAACCTTCTGAAATGGATCCACTAGCTCTTCCAAAACTGGTTACGACGACTGCTATAATGATTTGCGGCAGTACTGCAGGAGAACCAAAAGGCCGTCAATAGTTGCGTACTTCGACAAAAATTGGAATTCGTGTCGTGACATGTGGGCAAATTTTGTTCGTAGTGGGTTTTTCACTGCTGGAAATACCACCACCAACATAATTGAGTCCAATTGGAATCAAGTGAAAATGTTATTGGGACACAAAACTCGCATCGACAACGCGATTGCTGGTATGTTGCAGCATCAAAGGGCTGTGACTCAGCAGATTGTGTTTTCAATCACGCAACAGTCCTTAGCGACTCGTGTGCCAGGACAATACCAAGATTTTTGAGAGCAGTTGCTGCTAGGTTGTCTCCAGCAATATTTGCGAAGGTGAAATCGGAGTGGGAATGGTTTATTCTCATGAAAAAGGCAGATTGTGAAAGGGACCCAATAAGCGTCTCGTGTTGGAAGGTGCATTGCCAGAGCAAAATCTACAAATGTCACGATATTGATTGGACATGCACCTGCCTATTCTACCGCAGTCACCGCTTGCCCTGTCGTCACCTAATACACTTGGTACGAGATGGGCATCGTTTTGAAATGCTTCCATTAATTTCTGTTCTCGGGCGCTGGAGTTTGAATGTTGCAACGCAAGTGAAAGATGAACTGGTGGCTGCATCCTCTTCGTCGATGCAAATTGTGCGAATGACGAAGTTAAAGTCGCCGAAAATAAAGTTGTCTTACGCTCCTGATGATGATGTGCAAGGCGGCGACCAATGCATGGCTACCACATCGGCTAAGGACCCGAAACAAGCTGCATACGTGCATCTTCGTCGCCTGGGAACGTGCAAACCAAGTCGTTCTATCTTCATCCGAAAAGTACGTGTACGCAAAAACCATGCTGGAACCTTTATTGGAACATCTTTCAAATCTATCTAGTGCTGATTACTACCAACAGCCAAAAGCATGGAAGGAGACTGTAGCAATTGGCCTGAGTAAGGAGACCTCAACGGACCGTACATCATCTGAAAGTGACCATACCGACGGCAACAGTGATCGTGAAGATTTGGATGTGGACCCGGATGATCTAATGGACGCTGTGCGAGTTATAGAAGCGAGGGAGTCTGCTATCTCTATTACGGACGGGTATATAACGAATCAGGATTCATTTGATGCAGAAGACGAAGTTCCACCAACGCAACTGACATCCGACCACGAACTATCTCTGTATTCAAAAGAAGTTTCTGGTACGGCGATCGCAGAATGTGTTCGCGAGGATGTGTCAAAGGCAAGCAGTACACATACTGAGGAAACTGCACGGCAGGTCGACATCGTCAATGCCCCAAAACCATCACGGAATGGTCGGCCAAGATCAACACCCAAGCATCTGAGACAAACTAAGCTTACTCCGACGTCGCGTCGCCTTGCTGTTCACAAATACCCTACGGGTCTTACTGTTTCACTGGACCAGCTTCTAGTTTGGGCGCGTAATGCCTCGAATATCAAGGACGTGATGGAGTTACTGAACAAATACCCGGTCCAGCTGGAGGATACTTACCTGAGGTCGCGCACAATTCTTTGTTAATGGACACCACGACAGACCAAGGATTATATGCACATATTTGTAATTTCAGCAGACCTCACCCGTTCAATGCAGGCTGCGATAAGCGAAGCCAGAAATACACAGCATCAACCCCCTGAGCTGGACGAGCGTGTCAAGAATCAAGGCGTCCTACTCGATATTGTCGCCTCGATTGATCCGAAACTGTGGAAATTTAGCAGGTAAGGTTGCTTTAACATTATGGTTGCTGTAATGGGTTGTTTTTAGTATGGTTGCTTTAACATAATTATGCTTTTAGCCAATTTGTGCTCGCACTCACAGGATTCTACGCCGTTAAGGCCAAAGGGAGGGCATGGCTGGAAGATCGCAAGTGGCTCGAGCAAAACTGGCGATGAGCTGAATCGGATGTGGACTTGTTCGCGAATGAGACGAAGACGGCAGGCATATCAGTCGATGCTATCTGTTCTCGTCACCAGGCGCTCGCGAGTGAGGTTATTTCCAAGTTCACCTCTAGTCCTCTGCTCACTGAATTTAGAACGCTCTCACGGAAAGCAATGATCAGCTTTGAGAACGTTGTGGGTGGTGGGTGGCTTAATGACAGACCAATCGAATTTTGCTTGAAAACTATTGCAACTTCAGTGGGTAAGTGCTACGTGCTATCGTTATTCTCGTGGTCGCTTGGGTGGCCGGCAACCCCGAGAAACTCGTTGCAAGTCATCGATTTCATCGTTTACCCAGTGCATTTGAACGAGAATCACTGGGGGATCGTTATTGTTGGTTTGCTCCGTAATGGTGCCAATGGATCTACGAACCAGCTACATGCGCATGCTTACATGTATGAACCTCTTATTGACAACGAATATCATGACGAAATGGAGACAGTGTGGAATGGAATCTATAGTTTGGAGGAGAATGGCATCAGAACTAAGGTGAAAGAAGGGCTGGTGGGCTTTGTAGCGCGGTGGCATCAGGCTTCGATGACATCGAGCAAAACTTGTTTTCGACCCAATTGAGTGGGTTGCTGCCCCACAACAGCCCGACTTTGCTAGCTGTGGTGTCTTAATGGTAGCCCAGGCACACAATTACCTTACTGGAAACGTGGAACGGCAGAAGTACAACTTCTCAAAGAACGATGTGAAGGTTGTGCGCTTACGGATGCTATGGATCATCATGTGTAATTCGAATGAACGCAAAGCGTCCAAGGCTACTGCTGATAAAGTAAGTAAAATTCATGAGAGCCTACAGGACGAGCTCAAGTAGGAAACCAGACCTGTATCAAAAAATTAATACAGCTGAACGTGCAGGCTAAGCTTTCAGCCTGTTAATTGCCATCTCCAGCAACACTTCGAATGATAGAACGCACTAAATTGAGACCATCCGACTCCTTACTTGCTGCTAACTCGTAGCTGCGCTCTTCATCATCTTCAATAGCAGCAGTTGAACAGCCAGTATCTTATCCAGATTCACTTGCACCCTTATTAGGTTTTCTTTACATCGGCGAGGTGCTCCAGCCTAGCGCGAACGAGCTACGTTCTCCATCAATATCGATCAAGCAGATGTGCGAGTGCAACACGTTACATATAATACTATTGTGTACACCCCCATGCAACTACAACAACTATACTTTGAGCTCTCGATCCCTAGTGTCCATTTAATCGCCCACAGAAACTCAGCCCATAAAAATTTCTAGTCAGCCAAAATGACACAAGTTTTATTTTATATAGGTTTTTGTATTGGGCCGATGGTGGCCGTAAATTGTGTCCAGCTTAACAAATCTTTTTTTTGGTATGGGAGCCTCCCTATATAGTGCAAAAACGCGAGCGTTAGCGCATCCTTGTTATTTTTAAGCATGTTTTGCAACTTGTGTGAAAATCAAACCGAAAAATAATAAAAATTGACTGAGTTATGGGCATTCGACGAGGGGGCCGTATAATTGTGTCCAGGAGTGTATAATTTTTGATTATTGGTTGCTGACCTTGACAATACAAAATGGTATTGGACCAATTATTGACAATAAATATGGCAAAAGGTTCCCTGGTACAAGAACTTGAATTGCTTACACAATATTTACTTTGAAGTATCCAAAGAGCCTTTAAATTTGCGAGCCCCACAAAATGGATACTTCGAAGTACGACGTGGAACACGACGTGGGCATGCATGTTCCTTTCAGAAGATATTAAATGCAAGAAACTTACTCCAACCGAGACAAACCGCAGTGGAAGTCGTCAGCGTCTATGTTACATGTGCTGCGGCAGTCGAAGTACCACTCAGCACTACACACGCTGGAAAGAGATGAAGAGACGAAAGAGATAGCTAAACTGGGTCTCGATAATCAGTCTTCATCGAATAGTCGATAAGATCGCCAGAGTAGCTACCTGATTAAAGGCTCTCATATCCATGTAGCTGTAACGGGCCAATTAATGTGTCCGGCCGTGGGGCGGGTCGTTGCTCCACAGTGCCTCGCTACGGCGTCCGCTTTCACTTAGACTTCGTAGCTTTACATCACTGGCCGACAGGATCCATTTGACCCTGCGCCGGAGCTTTCACCACTTGTGCCCGTTCCTACTTTATTAATCAGCAATAAGCTGCTTTAGCCACTTGCTAACGCAACCTACACACCCAACCAGGACTCGTCCTTGGACGCGCACGCTGGATTCCAAATCAGTGCACACGTCGCCCTTGGACTCGTCCCAGCACTCAAGCAGTGTACACTGGATTCCCCGTCAATGCACACCACCACCAACAAGCTCCACGACGGGCTGGATTTCCCGTCAGCACATGCCGCCTCGCCTTAACGCTTGCGACCTCTCGATCGCGCACCGCCCGCTTCCGCAGGCCACACACTTGCTCAGTACCGAGCAGATTCGTTTACTCTCCACCGAGTAGAGCCACTTGCTCTCTACTGCACCGATTCCTTTATTCTCCACTGAGTAGAGCCACTTGCTCTCTTCTGCGCATACCGTATTCTTTTGTGAGCGACCAAGACCGACTCTCACCTGGATCACTGGATCCCCCCGTGATGCGCAGGCACGCACTGCACTTCAATACCACGGTCTTCGTTTGGACATCCTCCAGCGCCATGCGCTGCCTTACAGAGACCGACGTCTCCGTACGCGGTGATCTTCTGGCACGCCACGTGCCACTTCTGTCGCGCTCTATCATCATCATCTGTAACCCGCTGTGCTGTGGTCTACACCACGGCACGGTCCGCTACATCGCTAATACATGTAGGACAAAAATGAAATAGTGTCATGTTATTAGATACACTTTTGAAGCTGCCACTACTTTACGTTCTTGAAGACGTAGTAGGACATTAGGCATCCTTAGGATAGATGAAAGGCACATTTTTGCCTCCGTGGCCACACAAGCAGCGTTGTCACAAGAGTGCAGCAAATTTTTGGTCTTTTAATTTTGTCCTAAGACCAATTCGTCTGGGTCGCTTTTTTCATTTCATTTCAAGCTTAGCACAAATTATAAAACGGTATTTACAGCGTAAGTCGCAGACGATCTTGCTCATTTGTCCTGTAAAAAGACTATGTATGCCTAACGAATTAGGAACCGCTTGCTGACACTTCTTAAATAACTTTTAATTAAAGTATTTTCAGCCTGCTCATGTACAATATCTTAACAATACAATACCGTTCCCTATTTTATTGACAAAAAGGAATACAAAACAGCAAGCATGCGCTTTCATCTGCCATATTTCGATCTGCCAGCGCAGTTTGTGGGAGATATCTGGCTTAGACTGTCCGTCCCACTGCCGTTTAATTCGCATCGGCGTGTATCGTTTGAAAAAAGTACCCCCCCCCGGATCAAAACAGCAAAAGAAAAGTCTGGTTAAACTAGTATAAATGTTAGCATTGTTAGACTGCACCACATCACACTGCATGTTGAGCCTTGCCACGCTATCACTTCGCACTCAATTAAGTGGCACAAAACATAGCCTGTCGGTGTACCCTCATCAGATTAACATTTCGCGCTATTTGAGCCCGTGACGCTTTGCCTCACGAGCCTGGAGCTCTACGATCTTCACTTATTCGGGTTTCGTGACGACCATCTCCTTAACTTTTTCCACGGCCTTCGAGGGCTTGATTTTCTCCGCCACACTCTTTAGCTTATCCATGAAGCCTCCGGTTCTCTCTTTCATAATCTCATCTTCATCGTTTCCGACACGACGCAGTAAACGCTGGCCATGCACGTGGGCTGGAATGCTCATGTCAACACCATTATCATTGATAGCATTGATCGCAACCGCAGAAAGCGCATCGCCAGTGGCGTGGAAAGTGGCCACGATGAGCACTGCGAGCATGCATGTGAGACGCATTCTTGTTTTTGATTTGGGCTTGAGAGGCTGTAAGCAGATTGCAGAATGAGATGCTTGGGGAAGACAAAAAAAGGGAGCCTGGAAGAAAGTGTACCGATATGGAAGCCAGGGTCCTAGCCCAGGGCATCTCAGTCAGATAGATACTGTACATATCGTCTCTAGAGTATGTATTTACCCGGTAACAGCATTTCATGTACCCTACATATTCGCACAGATCTGAACACCTTAGCCAAAGATAACCATGATAAGCCCGCTGGCAATCATACATGTACGTGTTCAGATTTTGCGTATGAGCTGTATCTCAGTCGAATGACTTGATTTTTGTTGTTGTTGTTAACGGTAAATGCCGAAGTGAGTAGATTAAAATCAATTAAATTTGCCCTCTAAACTTCTACTCTAGCGTTGTCCTCCTTGTTGTCCTTTTGTCAAGCGCTCCTGGCCATCCACCAGATTAACCGGTTTGGGAACGGTCCATCCTGGAACGTTCCGCCGGTAATTGAACCGTGCAGAGTCGGTGTGAATTAACACTCCCACTCACCGCTACTGCACGGCGTTCGTCTTTGTTAAGGATCGCTACTCAGCGGCGTTACTCTTCTTGATCCCGCTTGCCTCGCGAAGGAACGCTAGCGACTCCGTTCCAAGCGCCTTCGTCAGCATGTCCGCAAGTTGACGCTTCGTGTCGACGTAGTCCACCTTGATCGTAGAGCATTCCACATTCTCCCGAATGAAGTGATGTCGGATTTCCATGTGCTTGGTCCTAGCGTGATACCCAGCGTTACTTGCAAGTGCGATAGCACCTTGATTGTCCTCCCAGACCTGCGTCGCTCCCACTTGCTCGTGACCCATGTCCTTGAGAATAGCACGTGTCCATAGTACCTCTTGCGTACACAGACTCAGAGCCATGTACTCTGCTTCCGCTGAGCTGAGTGCAACCGTTCTCTGGTACTTGGACTTGAACACAACCGGAGCGTTCACAATCATGACCATGACACCTGATACGGAACGCCTGTCGTCAATGTTGCTTCCCCAGTCGGCGTCCGTGAACGCCTCTGCCTTGACACCTTGCGTTCCACTTTGGTAGACGATACCGTGCTGCCGAGTTGTCTTTAAGTACTGCAGGACCCGTATCGCTGCCTTCCAGTGTTTGCGTTCCAGGATTTTCCAGGAAGCGTGACAACTGCGTTACAACGTACGCAATGTCCGGTCGAGTGCATGTTGTGATGTACATCAGGCATCCGATCAAGGAACGGTACGGTCGTGACTGCATTTCACGTCGTTCCTTCTCCGTGGCTGGCGACATCATCTTCGACAGCTTCATGTTGGATGCGCATGGGTTATCCAACATCTTGGCGCTCCGTTTATTGAAGCGCTCTACAATGTCGTCAATGTACCGAGTTTGCTTGATCATCAGCGTTCCAGCTGCCTTATCATGATCAATCTCCATCCCCAGGATGAACTTTGCCTCGCCAAGCTCTTTCATCTTGAAGGCACTCTTCAGAGCGCCCTTTACTTCGCGAATCTCTTCGCGTGTCTTCGCCGCAATGATCATGTCGTCCACATACAGGCACACGTACACGAATGCGTCCCTGGAACGCTTGACGTAGACACACTGGTCGGCTCCACAACTCTTGAAACCGTTCCGCAGGAACACACGATGGATAGTCTTGTTCCATGCACTTGCAGCTTGCTTCAAACCATATATGGCCTTTAGCAGCTTGCACTTCATGCCTTCAGCGTTCTCGAGACCAAGTGAAACGTCCATGTAGACCAAACCACCAAACCACTGTTTAGGAACGCTGTGTCAGCATCCAGTTGCTCCATAATGTACTCGCATGCCACACACACAGCGAGTACAACTCGAATCGAGTTCATGTTTGCAACAGGAGAATACGTCTCAAAAAAATCGATTCCAAACTTCTGCTTGAACCCTTGAGCTACTAGGCGTGCCTTGTAGCGGATAACACGACCGTTCTCGTCACGCTTCTTAATGAACACCCAGCGACATCCAATGGAACGCGTAGCCGTTCCACATGGATCCAACGTCCACGTTCCGTTCTGGGAATGAGAGTGTAACTCAGCCTTCGTAGCCCGCCGCCATTCAGCTGCTTCATCACTGGCGATAGCTTCTGCGTACGTGTTCGGCGTATCCGGGACGCCTCCGATGCTGGCCGCGTATGCCAACACTGCCTCTGCGAGTAAACAGTCTTCATCGATCCTAGGACGCTTAGGAGACGGCGGTCCATCACTACCTCTTTCGGACTGGCGTTCCACATCGTCATCGTAGCCGTTCCCAAGCAGAAAAACCGGTTCCCGAGGTCGGGTTGAGCGTTTCGTTTCAGGATGGAAGATTATCCGGTCCTCTTGGAACGCAGGAGGTTGTGAGCGGTACGTTGCCAGCTCCAGTCCGCTCGAACGGCGTTCCTCCGGTGCGGGTAGCTGTGGTAGTCCGGCGTTCCGTTCCGGTTCAACATCGTCCATCTCAATGTCTTGAGCAGGTTCTTTCGCTTCTTCCATCGGTTCATCTTGAACAGACTGTCGCTCCACTTCTGGAGCTGGAACCACAGTATCGTCATTGTTCCTTGTCACATCGATGATCGTTCCAGAAGCTGGCGACGGCGTGTCATAGATACCGCCCACCTCACACTCGTCCAGCTTTACCGATCGTGACACCTTGACCTTGGATGCATCCAAGTCGTAGACACGATACCCTTTTACGTTCTCTGCGTATCCGAGGAACGTGCACCTGAAGCTCTTGGGTTCCAATTTCGTCTCTTCACGTCATCCACGTCGAGCGTACCCTTGTGATCCAAGCACGCGTAGCTGTACCATCCGTGGCTTAACTTGGAACGCCAGCTCATATGGCGTGACATCCGAGTTGGATGTGTTCGTGGAACGGTTGATAAAGTACACTGCAGTACTAACCGCTTCAGCCCAGCCATCCGTCGACATAGACTTGTAGTGTAGCATGCTTCGTGACTTCTCCATGATGGTACGGTTCATGCGTTCCGCAACACCGTTCTGCTGAGGGCTGTATGGAGCGCTGCGTTGATGCACGATGCCATTCCGCTGACAGAGTTCCAATACCGTCTTGTTTATCAACTCCGTTCCATTATCGGAACGCAAGCACTTCAATCGTACCCCCCACTGATTTTTTATCCAGCGCCTTGAACTCCTTCAGCTTGCTGCCCCGCCTCACTCTTGCTCTTCATGAAGACTGTCACGACATACCTTGAGTAGCCGTCTACAAAGGTCAGCACGTACTTGGCACCCCCTTTGAGAGCGTTCTCATTGGCCTCATAACCCCCGTGTGTACTAGTCCAACACACGCGTTGTCTTCGTCAGTGATCGTGACGGGAACGCCGTCACGGTCTGCTTTCCTCTCATGCATCCACCGCCACAAAGTCTCGCACGTCCTTATTCCTGGCGCCATACCCGTCGTGGAGCGCTGGGTCTTCGTAAGTGCGTCCGGCTGGGGTGACCCATGCGAGCGTGCCAGAGCCTCCCTCGCTGTCAGGTCCGGTGTATT